CGAGAATGGTGGAGTCTTCCACTCCGTGGGGCCGTCCCAACCGAGGTTTGCCTTCGAGGATCGTCTCTTTTCGCGAAGCGAGCGAACCAAAGGTGGCCGGTCATGATGGTAGTGGTGTCCTCCGGCAATGCACTGTTGATGTTGCGGACAGCTGCCGTGGCTCCAGTGCTGCGGGCCACCGATACATGATGATGACCCGAAGATGCTCCTGTGAAACTGACATCGTAATTAGACCCAGGAAAGAGCAGGCGCCCTCACACACCTCTTGCACGAAAGCTCTTAGAATGTTCTACAAGCATGGCATGTTACGTCATGTTCAAGCATCGAGAATCAAAAACTGTAAGCTTTCAAAAAACACTGACAGGACTTTACTTCCAACCTAATAAATATGATGACATCATTTCCAAGGGAAAACTCACTTCAGTATTACAAGGTCCACACTTGAAGTTGATTCCGTAGCCATCCGATGGCCAATGAGTGTGATCCACAAAAGACCACGTCCATCTACACCCAGATGGTGGGCGAGGAGATGAAAACTCTTGCGCGCGAATTCGTACGTCTTCTAGATTTTGCTCATGGCGGCGAGACGTTGATTCGATCTAAACATTTGTTTTGCTTCACGGCTCTCGAGTCAAAAAAGAAAAACAGTTTACTTTTTCTTGAATTCTCTTTCGCAGAGACTCATTCTCTTCAGCATCAGCCAATCTTAGCTCGTTGAGCTTTTCTTGTTGTAGCTTTCGCTTTTCATTTCGTAGTCGTTCCTGCTCATTCCTCTGCGCAGCAAGCTGAGCATGACGAGCTTCTTTTCTTTCTGCGATTTCCTGGAGCCGTGCGATACGCTCCTGCAACGGTTTACTTCACGTACAACTAAAACAAGTTTCTTTCTGAAAGAATTCTTAAAACGAAAATCACCATTTCTGCTATTTTACGCCTTTCCTCGGCGGCATGTTCTTTTGCTGCCTTCTCCTCCATTCTTCTTGCTCGTTCCTCTGCCAATGATTGCTTCCGTTCTTCAACTCCAGCGTCTCTCATCCGCAGATCAAGTATCATGTTTCCACCTTGCAGCGAATTGATGAACTGGACTTCTAGAACCTGAAAACGAGTTCAATTCGAGAGAACCTGAAAAGGAGTTCAATTCGAGACAAGAACCCGACATTAAAGGCAGCGCGCGCGTTCAATTTGATGAGGTTGGATATGCCTTATACAGGACCCCACGCCGAGCTGAGGTTGTACGTGCTTAAGGCGAAGAGAAGGCGCGGCCGCACGAGTTCTCACTTGTTGATATCAGCTGTTTTCCCTTATCACCTCACTCTCACCATTCGAAGTGGAGAGAGTTGGTTGCGGAACAACCGCACCATCAGGCAACCATTAGAAATGAAGTTGGGCGTAGTGGTCGCCAGGTGGGCGGGGTGGCCGACTCTTCACGAGCGGGCGCCGCTATTCTCTCGCATTTTTGAGTTGCGAAACTAGTACGTCCACCATCCTCATAGGGTGAGCTACGATATCCAAAGAGGGCGTGGAAACAACAAATGAACGCGGGCGTTGCCTTTAAGTGAGAATATTTCAAGGGCCATAGCAAACGTACTCATCCAAAACAGCTATTCTGAATCATGAAGGTTCAAAAACATGACAACTATATAGTTTGCTGAGGATAAAGAGATGTAATAACATGCAGGGCTCCTCATGAAAAAGACTCCGCAGACAGGTCAAATCGTGGGCGCTACCACGTCCGGGTCAGCTAGACCTTCCCTCAGTTGGGGTAGGTGAACGGGTATTTTGTTAGTCTAGGAGGACAAAAATGGTGCACTGTGACTCATTGTCAGCCAACACCAGCAAGTTTGGGCACAGGGCCCCATTTGAAGCCACTTATGACTCGCAAAGAAATAGAAATGATGCATCTCAGAAGTGGGTTGATCGACCTTCTCACCCGTTTACCTGATTCACTACATTATTGCAATGAATCTTCACCTAATACTTCAGAGAAAATATAGGACGGAATCAAAACTTTCAGATTTATGCCCTCCAAAGCATACCTTTTGTTCGTCATCTTTCGCTTTTCGAATGATTTCCGTTATATTTTTCTCTCGATTTTCTTGGGCTCTTTCCATGCGACTCTCCAGAAGCTGCCTTTTTCTCTCTATAACCTTCTGCCTCTTTTCTCGAACCTCTTCTACCTGAACAATATTGATACGGGTATGCATCTGAGTCCAGACTTGAACATTATCGAAACCACAAAAAGCCATACCCTGCGCGCCAGTTCTCGCAATCGTGCTGTTTTTTCGGCCTGCAACTGAGCCCTCAACTCCGTGGCTCTCTTCAGTTTTTCGGCATGTCGAAGGGAGAAGTCGGCGTCATTTTTATCGCATCTAAAAACAGATGGATAGCTGCAAGTGCACGCAGAAAATCAATGACGTACCTTCTTCTGCTAGGGCTGCTCATTTTTTCATGTCGCTCCGCAACTGTGCCTGGTTCACGATATGGAGGCACAAGCTCCTTGCCAACTACCTCGCTCCAAGTTAAAATGGGCCGTCGACGGGTCTCATCTAAAAATATCACAAAATGACTTCAGTAGTGAAGGTCATCCCACAAGGAATCACGGAATAGAAGAGTTATTACGAGGTTGGATACTGTATACCTCGCGTTCGATCCGCTTGCTGTCCTCCACATGAGGATGAACCGTTTTCTGCGCGTTTACTCTATAACACATCGTTATGAATGCCGTGAGAAAAGTCATTCATTTATTAATAAGAATTAAGAATTATCAAGAGTCAACCAGTTCTTGAGAATTAATATTGATAATAAAATGGAGTTGACTTGTCTGGTACTACTGTACTATTTCTACCACAGAACCCAGTTTTTTTTTATTTTGTGCCCATAGTGCCCTGATCACGAATACGACATTCGTCTTTCACGCTAGCGCGATTGGGCGAAATCACATTTTTTAACTAATTTAAGGCAAACTTGCCCACTGGCTTTATTATCTTTGGTTTCCTAACCACCAGTTTTTGGCGCTGACCCCATAAAGGGCCATTTAGGCGCCACCACCATCATGCATAACATGGTTGTTTGATATCCTGCTTATAATATTCCATTCATTTCTCGAGACCAGCGCCAGTTAACGCTCTGCATAGAATGCGCTACGGAGAAGGAAAGATCTCCATAGCAGGCTCCGCCAGGTTTAGCCTCAAGCAGAGCGCTGGTGTTCAGAGAACTCTGCATCAGCGGGAGGGGGAAGAGTGAATGACATTTTTGCAACCAGAACATCAAATATCCTTGGTGCGCAGGTTTATACTGCTTTGATGAGAAAGGTAGCGGCGAGAAATCGGCGCTTGTTAGTACCGGCTTTAGTGCGGCTGTCATACAGCAAAGATCAGCATGACGATTTCTTAAGATTTTGGGTTAGTAGCTCAACAGAGCCAGTTTTCTTTGAATTCTGCTCAATTACGGTAAAGTATCTATGTCAAGGCGTTGCGTATTCAGCCAACAGAAAAAGATAACCACACAAATAACCTCGCAAACCTGATTTGCTGGTATGGCGGCTTTTTGAGAAAGCTCGAACTTCTCCAAAGCTTCAGCTTCAGCGGCGACTTGTCGTTCCAATTCGATGTCAATTGAAAAGGACTCTTCCTGTAAACCAGGGGATTAAGGGATTAATTTCTTGACAAAAAAGACAGTTCTTCATAAGGATTCTGAAAATTACATGCTCTATCTCAAGATTGAGGCTCTGCTCCTCTAGAGCTAATGACTCCTCCTCTTCTGTCATTTCCTTCCACTCTACGTCATCGTCTAGGCCAAGAAGTGATGACACTTCACCAAATGCTGGCTCCGATCTAAAAAGCACTGCTTTTTTCATTTCATTGAACGGAAAATTTTCCAATTGAAATCACCTTGTCGCTGAGAATCGGACATTGTCCCGATTTGATTCGGTAGGAGTTGGATCTGCTGGAACGGTCTCAGTCTCATCGGCTTCGCCAACTTCATTGATCGATTGCAAGGAACGATCGACTGACGGATTTCTCTCACTGGCCGGTGCACTGTCGCAGTGTAGACGCTGAAATACAGGAAAAATAGCACCCGACACCATTCTCTAGCCAGAAACCAAAAGCTGTCTGCCTGCCTGTCTATACATTTTCTATACATTTGCGTGACCGTCCAGAAAGGAAGGATGGGGCATAAACCCAGATTTTTAGAGCACATGTAAGGTACCCTAAGTTCCGTTAATGACCACAGTGGTACACAGAAGGGTGCCGGACCGTGAGGAAAGTGAAGGAAGTTAGGCAATGGGTTGCCAAAAGGAATGGGAAGAGCTACCTGTAGCGGGTGAGATGTGTAGGGAGGGAGTGGGGCTGTTAGAAAAGCTCAGCTCTAAAACCCCACAGAAAGCGTTCAATAAGCTCCTTTCAGCGCAGCAAGTTCTCAGCAATCCAAGAAGTAGCATTTTTCAAAATTTGAAGGACTGCCTTCTAGGGGGGGGGGCAATAAAGGGGGAGACAACCCTTTCACAGAAGTCTGACAAAAGCTCACCGGTCGAAAAGAGCTGCTATTACTTTGAGTTGATGGACGATCAGCGAAATGAATTCCGCAACGACTAGGGCCAGTACGTCGTCGCTGTCGTTCAACTCGTTCCATACGTTGTTTTGTGCGTAATTTCTCGGCTAGTAAGGACTGATTGCGTTCCCAAAGTAACTGCCGACTGTAAGCCATCTTGGCCATGGACGCCTACAACACGTTACTCAGTAAAAGTAAAGATTGTAGCAATTTTCAAGCCTTCTTCTTCTCAACCGTCTTACTTCACTCTAATTTCATTACCTTCGTTTGAGGCAGGTCCATAGCACTCTTCGGACAAGTAAGACGCGCTGACTGTAAGCCAGCGGAAGAGCGAATACTGCTGTGTCGGGAAGAATGCGTCGTCACGTTAGAAACCGATGGAGACACGGTACGGCGAGGTGCGGAAAGCCGATCGTAGACGTTAGGACGAGGTGGCTAAGAAAATTATGATCCAAAATTTGGGCCAAAGACGAATAAATGAAGGACAGTTCAATATTCGAGGAATCTAAAATCACCTCGACTTCACGTTGCTCAGGCGCAGATGCCTCATTCAGAACATCATCATGAGAAGGCGCAACTCCTCCAGAAGAACTTGTACTCCTTTTTCTGCGTGGTAATACCAACTGCCAGCCATCGTCTAACGATACTAAAAGAGCAGAGGATTAGATCAACTAAGCAAAAAGTTTTTTTCAAACAATTTTATGCGAGCTGGTCATGGTCGATAGTTCCGAAATCGCAATAAAAGCTTTGAAGTGACATGATTAGAAAAGGAGGTACTGCAATTACTACAAAGGATAGAGCGCGTGAAGAAGCATGGATTGTTGCGCTATAAGACGGAGTTTTCCACCAACGATGCCATCCTCAGTCGACAACAACAGGCAAGAAAAGGGTGCTCTGGCCGCGCTTCAAATAACGCCCCTTCACACGCCCTACCGTTTGCAAGGATGTTCACTATACTTCTGGAAGAGCATGGTCGTTAGCAAACTTGTCTCCAGAAACCAGAATTTTGTGAAGGACAAACCCAAGCTACGGCAAAAGGTGCTCTGAGCACAGCTGTCTGAAAGTTCTGGGAATAGCCAGTGACTAGTTCATACATAATATATTACAGATACAAAAAACTCACATCGAGCAGCCTCCCTGAAATCGTCGTCTTCCTCGTAGAGGTCAGCTTCGTTCAGCAAATGACCAGATCTAAACGATAGGCGCTAGATCGACAATAATTCAGAGCTGTCACTCCTCTCACTGTGTGAAATAAGCTCTCTTACTTGGGCATTGCATCAAGTGAGACTTGAACGGGCGAACGTGTAGATTTTCGAATTTCCCACGCAACAGCTTGGGGTCTGTAAAAAACACGCATGGTGACATTGACAAGGCAAGGTATGTGACAAGAGAATCGTAAATCGCCGCGCTGGAAGGCGTCGCGTGCGACGTCGCGCCCGCAAATGACGATGGTTCCAGGTAGTAGATGGCGACAAGGCAATTCAGAACCGAAAATAGTCATGAATGTCTACGATGACGGGGTCTACATGAAGTCCGGTGCTCCAATCGACAGGTTAACACGAGTTAAGAAAACGCCGCGCCCATCGCCGCCCGCGGCGAATTACGATTCTCTTGGATCAGACCTAATGCAGAATGGATTCCCGCTTCACAGATACTTCTCAGATGTTTAGTTAGTATAAAAAGCCACAAGAAAATTTCAAGTACGATTTTCACTGGAATTAAACTCGCCCCTCCATGCCACTGGACACTGGAAGTTTGGATAAAGGAGACTTCCCGTCTGTTAGACAATGAAGGCAGAATGCCCCAACCTTGATCTGACTTATGGGGAAAACTAGCTCCTGTACACGAACTATTGAAGCCCAGCAAAATCACGCGCATAACAAGACCTATATCCAAAATAAACACCCGTATTCACGCTTCTCTCGTGTGAATCCCATTCCAAGAATAAAATGTATTGCATAAGTAGCCGAAAAAAATCAGTACTGCTCCCATTGAAAAAAAACAACGATTCGCTGTTAGTACTAGGAGATATATTTTCAAAAATCTTTCAACCATATCGAGACACAGCTCATGAAAACTGTCAAGTGCGAACTAGTTTTTGGACCAAAGCACATCGTAGGTCAGGCGTCTTCAGCGAGCCCTGTTTATGATGAATGCATTCTGGAGCCTCAGTTAGCGCTACATTGGCTCACAAAGAACACTACGTCATGGGAAAAATACCCGACCTCAAGCGAAACAACCTGCACCCTACGCTTGGAGAGGGATGGGGCGACTTAGCACTCAACGTATCTCACCTCAGCCTTCTGTGATGAGTGAGACTTTTAGTATAAGTAGGTAGACTGATCACACCCTGTAGCACCTTATATTTCACAACTCACTTGCTTGATTCCTCCCACGACGTTTCAACGTTGATAGTATTGATTAATGACTCAAAGTCTCGTTTCGAGTTCTCAAGGTAAATAATCGCTTCCTGAAAGATTCGTACAAGATTATGTGAACCTAAAAAATGAGTCAGAACCCAGTGAGCATTGGGACATTCTTAGGCCATCGTTGACTGGAATTCACTTGCACTTCCTTGTAAACATTCAAATGTAAGATTAACCGTGGAAGTCTAATTAATGAAGTTCTCTTCCGGGTTATTTGAGCTCTTTATAAAGGCTTAGCAGAACAATGCAGTAAAGTTTCCTCGAATTATCGTTTTCGTACAAATCGAGTAAATTTTAGAACCCATTTTCTATACAGTAAGCCGCCTTCTTGCTTCCACTGCTGTTAAGAGTCTGCGGGATTAATCCTTTTTAACTTTTCTCTTTTCACTGTTGTTGCTTCCAGCTAGTTCAGCTTTCGGATTTTTTTTTTTGATCGGTTTGGTTCATCTCCCGCCGCCCAACGCCCATGCAGTTGTGTGGGTAGATAAATGCGGATGATGTCTCAACAAATTATTTTCAAATTCTCTCCATTCTTTCGTCTAACTACTCAATATAAGGGGTATTGACGAGTGCAGATCGAGAAGAAATAAACTTACTTTACAGCCATTTATATTGTGATCAGAACGGCAGATCTCGTATAGACAATCCACAGTTCGTTTAAAAGATTCCACATAGAATGCCCATTGCTGACCTCGTTTTCGCCTCGAAATCGATTTTTAAACAAAGAACGTATGGGACAAAAAGTTCGGAAACTCACTTAGCGCGTTTTCGTTTCGACGTCTTGCCAGCGCAGACTGTCGAATTTTCTGGAGTGTCCGACGTGGGGTTCAACATCACCTCTACAGACTCTTCATGGCAGAACTAGAAAATGAGATTGTCATGAATTCATGCGGAGAATTCGAGAAGAGAATGTCCCAAGAGGTCGATAAAGCTGTCCCATTAAGCACGAACCAGATGTTAGAAAAGTTACAAAAAGTGAGCAGAGTCAGCTGACTCAGGCAGATCTTCTTTCAGCGGGGAATAGGCAAAATTCGCAGGACAAAGGGTAATGCACATTAAAGGAGAAGGCCATGACCCGCTCAGGTGAGCGAAAAAACAGCCAAGTAGAGGCGGCCGGTATCAGCTGATGCGACAACAGCGCAACACTAGAGACGCCGCACGCGATGGCAGTTTGCCGCGACGCGACAAAACTGCCGTCATCCGCATGTTCCGTCGCATTTAACGCGCTATATTGGCAAAGCAATCCTTTTTTTGCATTGAATGTGTTTCGGGAAGAACGTTGCACGTTTAGTGTTCTTTTCCATCCCATTTCGTGTGTGAATTTCCTGTTCATTCAATGAAAGATTGGTCTTTTCCAGGGATTGTTCGCCGCCGTACACATCGAACTCCAATCCGTTGCCCTGGGGAACAAAAACTGGTGCTGACTTACATGTATGGTTGAACGGGACCACGTGAGGTGAATCAACGTACTCCTCTAACCAAGGCTTAGTCTTGTGGCTAGAGAGCATACGATCACTCACTATATATACCATTTTCACTTTAAATTCACCCCTTTTCAAACCAAATTCACCCACCTTCCAAATCGAATTCACCACACTTATTAGGCCGGGCAACTCATCAACCAGATCACGCCAGACACCACTGCGAGCCCCGCCCGGCCACGCCTACTTGTCAGCGCGGACATAGATTTTCAAATCTTGTTTCATAACTTCTGCTTATGTGACTTTTCTTATCTTTTGCTGTTTCCTGCAAACACTTTGGCTGAAAACGATTAGGCGCCGACTCCGCTCATTCTCTAAAGGGTTTGGCAATCTAGGCTCCGCCCCCTTGACCACGCCCACTTGCTTTTCGCGGAATTTTGATATTTTTCAAAATTTTGCATTTTTCGAAGTGCCACGTGAAGCGCCGCCCACCGTGAGGGCCACTTTGAACAAGCCCCGCCCACTTTTCAAAAATGGTGCAAGTCGGCAGTATAGGGTCTTGGCTTTCATGCTAGGGTCTCGTTCGTCACTCGGAACAAACTTTGCCTGATTTTCTTGTTCCGAGTGACGAACGAGACCCTAGCATGAAAGCCAAGACCCTATACTGCCGATTTGCACCATTTTTGAAAAGTGGGCGGAGCCTCTCACAGTGGGCGGGGCTTCACGTAGCAGTCCGAAAAAGCAAAATTTGATTCGAAATTCAAAAATTCAAAAAGCAACTGTTTATCGTAGAGCCTGTTTCGCACAAGCTGGCGCCTGATGTTGTCATTGGGAATGTTCACCAAGACAACATCATTGGTCAGCTGTGCACGAGCCAGACATCTTTGAATTGCAGCGGTTATATTATCAGATATGAACGGTATACATAGGGGGATCTTGCTTTGGCGAGTTTCACGTGGTACGTTCGGGCGCTCAGTGTGAGTTCTTCTGTGGACATGTGGAACAGTATAGCCATTTGAAGCAGCTATATCAGCAGCCAATCGTATGGATTCTTGCCGTTCTGTCACTCCTGTGCATACGTTTGCAGCTGTCTTGACAACATCAGGCGCCAGTGTGCGAAACATACTCTACGATAAGCAGTGTATATCAGACCATTGCATTATATGTCCTAATGGTAGAAGTAGGAGATTGCGCCAAAGTTGGCGTGATCTACCAACTTGTCTGGCATTCAAGTTGGTAGATCACGCCAACTTTGGCGCAGTCTCCTACTGTACCATTAGGACATGTAATGCAACATACATTGGGGAGACTGGTAGGGCGCTAGCAACGCGCATCAAGGAACATCTTGCTGGTAAAAGGCGTGGTAACCTAACAACACCGCTGGGCAAGCATCTGATCGAAGAGCATTGCGGAAACGACTATGATGTGAAGTGCAAAATTTTAGCGTACGAGACTGAGGTTTCCGCCAGGAAAGCGCTGGAGGCATTCTGGATTTCTGCTAGGAATCCTAGAATGAACAACCGAAATGAGTGCTTATCCATAACAAATGATCTCTTGCCATTTTCACCGCACTGCCAGCTACTGTAAGCAGTGAGACGTGCAAGTCTTGAATATAATTACTATATGTACAGCACAGTGAGTCTCACAAATACTACTAACAACTGACTGGGCGGCTTCTTCCGCTCCTGCCGCGGTGGACTTGGTGAGTTGGTTATACATACGGGATATTTTCGGTTGTTCCTTGAAGTTTCGTCAGAAACGCTAGGGGGACGAGGCGTTTGACGGTTTAGAAAGCAAATTAGAAATCTTGAGCTATGTTCAGGCCTCCGAGGACGACGATCTGGTCGAAACGTTAGGCCGTTAATAAAAGTTCCACCTAACAACCTCGCAGGCACAAAAGAATTACACACAATTAACAACGATGCCGAGGTTCTACGAAGAGAGAAGTTGGAGACTATAAGGTATTGTTTAAAAAATTGTAAGTTGGTCTTAGAGCGCTACAGACGCCAAAAAGTGAATTATGGTCCCCATGTGGTCACCGGTTGAGAAGTGTGAGGCAATCCCATTGTGGGCGGAGCGTGCATCGAGGTAATCCGAGCCAGATATGAAAATTCGTAGAACGTTACAACCATGGTTCGGCTGTCAATACCAAAATTTTGAAGAGTAGCATAGCTCAATAGCGCAGCCCGAAGTGGCCTCACGTTTTTTTCTGCGAAAATAATGACATAGCTGAGTTGATTTTTTGGTTCTACTTGTTTTGGGTTGGTCACCGTAAAGATAACTCGTCGCCTGGATCGTATATGTGTTTATATGGTGCTTTATGCACTGTAATGTTTTTGATGTTGGTGATGCTGTAATGCATTTCCACTTGAGGGTTGTGGGGGTGGAAGGGGTGGGATTGGGAGGTTCAATTCCTAATGGTGGTGAAAACTGATTCAAAGGAATGAGAAAAAATACGTGGGTACCATTTCTCCGAGAAAAAAATCTCCTAGTAGTTATCATGAAGGATCTCACCGGGAGACCTCCATATCAGATAGAAGGATGTACAGGCCTTCATCCGATGGGTGTAGCGGTACAGACTAAGAACATTAGTTTGTATATATATTTATTCGTTATTATGCATATGCAGAACAAGGGGAGGAAGGTAGGAAGAACGAATGAGGGAGATTAGGCCAGCGGCCTGTCGGTAGTAGTTGCCAGCCAGAGGCAACTACCGCGCTCTCTCTACGAGAGCGGCCTCTTAAATAGTCATACCATGATTGCGTCGTCCAGTGAGTCGAGTCAGCGGAGGTGGCTCCTTCACACGGGATCAGCTACGATAGGATCTTCGGCCTCAGACATCCATACGACAACGTTTGGTGATGAACACT